TCGCAGGCTTGACATTGCCTTTGACGACTGGCTTGTGGTACTTTTCTTGACTACGGTGAATGTTTGCAGCTTGACCTTCGGAAGTGGATCATGAAATTTCTTCTGTCCTGAGACAAGGCGCTCCTCCACAAAGGCTTCCAATGCTTTACAGCCACGCTCTTGGGCTCCGAGGAGGTCTTGTTGAGCAGATTTCCCGCAGGATAGCCCAGATGCCACATTCACAAGGTCGGTGCTGTCACTGGAGAATGGATCCAGCCAACTGTGAAATGTGGATTCTAGCTGCTGCACGTGCCGTTCGTCCTCTCTCATCCGAGTCTCATGGCACTCTTTGTGGATGTACTCGCTCTCCAAGCTTTCCTCATCCAGACCACAGTGCTGAAGTGACATCTATGCCATCTTGGCCGGTCGTGGGCGGTCATAACCCAGCGCTGAACAGCAGCTGGGTTGCGGCTGCAGCCTACAACACCTCCTTGAGTCTTTGAAGACCGGTTTATCGATTGCTCAATAGCGAGATCAGACGGTACCTGGGCAAAGGAGTTGAGTGACCGTTGAACCACAAATCCACCATCTGCGAGATACTTCGATGCTGCAGGGTTGGATTCCGGTAGGCTGGTCATCTGTATCCAGTACAGCTTTCCATACCGAGCGTAGTTAGGCCTGTCGTAGGCGAAAAACCAGGGCAACATCTGCTGGATGCACGATAGATGCAGCGCCCAGTCTGCGGATCTGCAGGACCGAATGAATTTCAGAAGCAGGAACACCAGGTCAATGTAGGAGGACCAGAATTTAAACATTGGGGATGATTCTGCTTGTGGCCCACAGAACTCCTTATACAGGTGATAGATGGACCTGAATTCTTCTGAATCTAGAAGACGATCGGCATTGTCAGCATTGATATGCTGCTGCAATGCCTTCATGCCGGCAGCAATCTCTTGGCTGTACTCCAGAAGAACACTTGGTTCCAATGTGCTCAAGAAGGCTCTCCATCTCATCCGCACCAAAGACTCGGCCACAAGCTTATGCATCCGCACTGCTCGGTTGTAGTGGCGACCATCTAAGGCTGACTGAACTGATGATGATCCACCCACAGTGGATTCAATCAAAACATCAGCCAAACCAGCATCCTTAAATCGCTTGCCCAGGACAGCAAGGAACGTCAGGCTGATGTGGAAACCACCAAGGCGCAGGACAATCGGCTTGAACTCTGTTGGTCTTTGCAGGACCAGATCTACCGCCTTGGCATAAATTGCTTGGTCGAACACGATTATAGTGAAGTTCAACCCAACAAGCCTCGCCATGTTCATGGACTGACAGAGTACTGAGTAAACAGTGGACATCTCTGTGGGCGAACTGTTGACGACAGGGCAGTGTCCAACTGTACATTTGGCGGGGATGTTTGACTTGCAGAGCAGAGCATTGAATGCGGACCAGGCAGGAACTGTTTGCTCCTGCTCCATACGGTCATCGGATTCCACAGTGGCGTTTGGCTGGAAGACATCACTGTCTAGACGTGCCAGGGCCCAAAGGATATCCTGGAGCTGGGCGGAGGCATGGATAGCAGAGCTCACTGATGCAATGGTGACACTGCCGCTTGAGATAGGTGGCGGGTTGCATTTTGCCATCGTGATTGACTGTGGCAGCGCTGTTGGCAGTACCACCGCAGATCGTCTCCGCTTCTGAGGGCAAAACGATGGGGTATTGAGCTCCCTTCCAGTGTCAGCACTATTGGACAACTCCACTGTTGCTCCGCGCTGCACAACAATTCCATTAGTGCAATGGGTTGTGCCCGCACCTGACAATGTTTCCTCATTAAGATCATTATTATCCCAGACGAAATGAAAGGGATAGCTCGGGTTGATATTACCAGGGAGATATGCCATGTCTTGTTGCTCGTGAACATGCTTTTCAGCCACTGCCGTTTCGATTTCCAGTACTTGGGCATAGGAAATGCAGTGACCAAGCCGATTCAGCTTGCGGATCAGGCGATAGCTTCGGAACATGTGGTGAAGAGCGACAGCTAACGCCACATGCTTTGGTGGTCGAGCAGGCGTACATATATGCACAATGTCCTGTGCAGTTGACCATATCTGGCGCTTGACATGCTGATCAGTGATATTGCCCATTGTACTGATCGCTGCTTAAGATAGCCAAGAAGTTGTGGAGGTGCTCATCACCGTTGGCCGTCGACAGGTTCGCCTCGGGCGAAGGAGGCCATGCTGATTTGGGAGCTGACTTCACATGGTCACGGATCTTTGCTCTCAAAATGATTGCCGCGTGGTACAAAATCCGTGCCTCATCTTGTGAGCGCCAATCATCTTGATTAGCATGATGTAATTCGCTATCACTTGTGTCCAAATCAGAACTCTCTGTATCATTAGACAGCTGGCTAAGAAAATGCACCTCATGCTGGGTAGCGTACACCCGTTCCGGGTCATTCTTCTTAGGTGTCCGGAAGAAAGTGATTGCATCTCCAAACTCCTGAAGCAAAAGCTTTTTCAGCTTGTCGTTTCTGATAACTTCATCCTCATGCCACTCCCTGTACTGCATATTAACAACACTCATTGTTAGCATCTTTCCGGTCACAAATAGCTGCTCTGGTCGATTAAGATCTCATTCCCATCAGCAGTCTTCTCAACCGCATGCTGTCCGGCACACAACTTCTCCAAGGTCTTGGCTCGTGTATAGTCATTGTAACACGACTTATGATACCGTAGTCCACGGTCTACCAAAAGCAAGCCACATGTTCCAACAGCAAGCTGTATCCGCTCATCACGACGTACAGCAGCAGCGTTGGTCAACTTTGTCGCAGCAGCCTGTGTCTGGCACAGAGATGTCTTCTGGACAGTCTTCCTGCCGGTAGGTCCACACCTGATTTCCACCTTTGAGCAAATGATGCAACTATGCACATCTTCAGAGACTTTTGGGATACTGAAAGTCTGGCGTGTGGTCCTTCGCCCACCACTGTCATCAGCTACAGCAGCAGTACATTGGCTATCTCCAACATCCTTCATAGACTGTGAGCCACGCTCTAACAGTGTCTTGTTCGTGACCTGCTGGTAGCATTTACGATGATAGCCAGCATCAACAGGCCACACAGTTGCACAAAAGTCTACGGAACTGTCCACAGCCTCAAATTTCCGATCGTCAACAACTATTACTTGCTGAACTCTCTCCCAAGAATGTGAGGAAAACCCTGTCACATTATCACCTTCAGCATCTCGCCTAACGTGGATGACGCATCGTAAACGTCGAGAAGCCGGCGAGCCAGCACATGAACCTTGAGCAGGGGACCTGCTTCTCTCCTCCTCTTCCTCCATGACACACACCGCAAACGTCTTCACATCATCTTCTTTCTGTTTTCCTCAATACATGTGCATTTTCGGAATAGATTGCATGCTGCGGGCCGATAATTCTGGCCACACGTGGTGTTCAAACGTCTCCACGTGGAGATGTGCAAAGGCTACGCTTTTGCTCCTTTTGTGCAGCCCCTTTCATGCTCATAACTGCAGTGCGTACTAGTGCCTCCACTGTGCGACCTCAGTACGACCTTTTGTGTCAGGTGCAGTGCCATGTACGGGGAGTGTCAGCACCACCGTACATTTTTGCGAGGTCAGTGGTGCAACAGGAGTCCGCTCCGGCTCTTGTGACCTTGGTTCTTGTCGATGGCGGCTATGGATTTGGTCAAACTTTCTCCGTTCTATTTGGGCATTTTTGTGCCTGATTTGGAAGTGACAACAAGCTGAATGCGTATCTAGTCGAGTACAGTCCATTCAGAAAAAAATGAACTTCTAGCTTTTGGCCATAAATGGGTCAAACGTTGAGTTTTTTTAGAATTTTTTTCTGCAATCCCATATGTAATCCTCTTCCAATTATGTTTCTGAAGTTTTTTTGTCCAAAAAGCAAGCCATAGCAAGAATAGGATTTCGGCCAGGTTTTGCCCCAAAATCACTGAATTGGGAAAAACCATCAAAATCCAGGCCGTTTGACCCCGCCTGCAACAGTGCATTCTGCGGTTCGAACCCCAGTTCAGGCACCCTTTTTGGACCCTTTTTCAAATTTCAAAGTTCGCAGCACTGCACTGTGTACGATGAAATCACGAAAAATCGCCAAATACGGGAGCTCGCCAGAGCCAGGACCCATCTTTTTATGAATGGACTGTAGATGGAACGAACTGGGGAAAAAAATTGCGGTACGCTCAAGGTCGGAACGAAAAAAATTCTGACAGGATTTTTGGTGCCTGGCTCACAGTCTATAACATCTAGAACAGTAGTAACATCTAGAACAGTGGTGCAGCTATTTACACTTTGCTTTGTGAATATATAAACCAATACTGATCCAGATTTCTCATTACTGTTTTCTGATGATCGCTTAGTGCGTGAAACTCGGAGTAAAAACACTTTCTCTGTCCTCCTATTGTTTGAACAGTGGTAACATCTAGAACAGTGGTAGCAGACTTATTTTGAAATGCAAGAATGAGTAACAGACAGTTCAGTGCTGCCGATAGTACACTGTGTACTGTGCTTCGAAGTAGACACCTGTAAATTCCAAATGTCGAAGCCCACCCCGAGACCAATCACTTTGGCCCTTGCCAGAGTTTACTTTGCTCGGTACGCGTCAGATCTAAACTCACCTACCCAGCAGCGAAGTTGTTTCGTTTCAAGAAGCGACTTTGGAATCGGCCTGGACAACTGCTGCAGCCCTACAGACCTGGAGTGAAAAAGTGAAGGTTGCGGGAGGAGTGTCCAGGCTGTAATTGCTACAGAGGTTCAGGAATAATATGTGATGTTCAGGAATATGTGATGGTGGAAGTACCGGAAAGAGGAACGTTTCATGAAACTTCAAAACTTTTCTCGGTTATTAAAAGAACATGCCGCACTTTTAATTAACCCGCCTTCCCCACGTTGATAGAATCATGATTTTTCTTTTTTTATTGATGCACTATAGACCACATTATGTCTCCGTGTTGTCTGTTTGCCTATGTTCTATGTTCCTATGATTAGCAGCGCAAGGGAATACGGGACCAGGGTAAGTCTAGCCTGCAGCATTCCAACTCTGCTGTGAACTCTGCTGTCTCACTACACTTACAATGTGTTTTAATAGTACTGGGATCTCGCCAATGTACTGTCTCCTTATTAATTGGCTTTTCTGAGTGGCGTCTTTTCAGTGTGTTGTATCCTTACCTCTTTCATTATACATGTACTGCTATTGCAGAATTCTGGGGAGGGAGACGGGGCAGGGCGGGGGGGGGGGGGGGGGGTCGAGGGAGGGACTGAGGCAAGGAACCATGCCAATGAATCTCCCTTTGGCAAAGCGTCCGCCATGCCAGGTACAATCCCATCTGATTTGAGAAGTGTGTTTGATTCTTTGCAGTTCCGCCGCCGCACCGCCTACACCAGCTCCTCCTCAATGCACACTGGATCTTGTCAGGCTCTTCTACTTAGTGCTCGTGCCTATATCGGTGAGCGCTTTGCCTACAATCCACTTTCACAACACTTAGTGACAGCAAGCAAGGCAATGCAGGTGTGAGATTAAGTGACTCACACCGTACCGACACTGCACACACAGTACAGGTCTACCCTCGTTAGTACAGGTCTACCCTCGTTAGTACAGGTCTACCCTCGTTAGTACAGGTCTACCCTCGTTAGTACAGGTCTACCCTCGTTAGTACAGGTCTACCCTCGTTAGCACAGGTCTACCCTCGTTAGCACAGGTCTACCCTCGTTAGTACAGGTCTACCCTCGTTAGCACAGGTCTACCCTCGTTAGTACAGGTCTACCCTCGTTAGTACAGGTCTACCCTCGTTAGCACAGGTCTACCCTCGTTAGCACAGGTCTACCCTCGTTAGTACAGGTCTACCCTCGTTAGCACAGGTCTACCCTCGTTAGTACAGGTCTACCCTCGTTAGCACAGGTCTACCCTCGTTAGTACAGGTCTACCCTCGTTAGTACAGGTCTACCCTCGTTAGCACAGGTCTACCCTCGTTAGTACAGGTCTACCCTCGTTAGCACAGGTCTACCCTCGTTAGTACAGGTCTACCCTCGTTAGTACAGGTCTACCCTCGTTAGTACAGGTCTACCCTCGTTAGCACAGGTCTACCCTCGTTAGTACAGGTCTACCCTCGTTAGTACAGGTCTACCCTCGTTAGTCCAGGTCTACCCTCGTTAGTACAGGTCTACCCTCGTTAGTACAGGTCTACCCTCGTTAGCACAGGTCTACCCTCGTTAGCACAGGTCTACCCTCGTTAGCACAGGTCTACCCTCGTTACTACAGGTCTACCCTCGTTAGCACAGGTCTACCCTCGTTAGCACAGGTCTACCCTCGTTAGTACAGGTCTACCCTCGTTAGTACAGGTCTCCCCTCGTTAGTCCAGGTCTACCCTCGTTAGCACAGGTCTACCCTCGTTAGTACAGGTCTACCCTCGTTAGCACAGGTCTACCCTCGTTAGCACAGGTCTACCCTCGTTAGTACAGGTCTACCCTCGTTAGTACAGGTCTACCCTCGTTAGTACAGGTCTACCCTCGTTAGTACAGGTCTACCCTCGTTAGTACAGGTCTACCCTCGTTAGCACAGGTCTAACCTCGTTAGTACAGGTCTACCCTCGTTAGTACAGGTCTACTCTTGTTAGTACAGGTCTACCCTCGTTAGTACAGGTCTACCCTCGTTAGTACAGGTCTACCCTCGTTAGCACAGGTCTACCCTCGTTAGCACAGGTCTACCCTCGTTAGTACAGGTCTACCCTCGTTAGTACAGGTCTACCCTCGTTAGTCCAGGTCTACCCTCGTTAGCACAGGTCTACCCTCGTTAGTACAGGTCTACCCTCGTTAGTCCAGGTCTACCCTCGTTAGCACAGGTCTACCCTCGTTAGTACAGGTCTACCCTCGTTAGTACAGGTCTACCCTCGTTAGTACAGGTCTACCCTCGTTAGTACAGGTCTACCCTCGTTAGTCCAGGTCTACCCTCGTTAGCACAGGTCTACCCTCGTTAGTACAGGTCTACCCTCGTTAGCACAGGTCTACCCTCGTTAGCACAGGTCTACCCTCGTTAGTACAGGTCTACCCTCGTTAGTACAGGTCTACCCTCGTTAGTACAGGTCTACCCTCGTTAGTACAGGTCTACCCTCGTTAGTACAGGTCTACCCTCGTTAGCACAGGTCTAACCTCGTTAGTACAGGTCTACCCTCGTTAGTACAGGTCTACTCTTGTTAGTACAGGTCTACCCTCGTTAGTACAGGTCTACCCTCGTTAGTACAGGTCTACCCTCGTTAGCACAGGTCTACCCTCGTTAGCACAGGTCTACCCTCGTTAGTACAGGTCTACCCTCGTTAGTACAGGTCTACCCTCGTTAGTCCAGGTCTACCCTCGTTAGCACAGGTCTACCCTCGTTAGTACAGGTCTACCCTCGTTAGTCCAGGTCTACCCTCGTTAGCACAGGTCTACCCTCGTTAGTACAGGTCTACCCTCGTTAGTACAGGTCTACCCTCGTTAGTACAGGTCTACCCTCGTTAGCACAGGTCTACCCTCGTTAGTACAGGTCTACCCTCGTTAGCACAGGTCTACCCTCGTTAGTACAGGTCTACCCTCGTTAGTACAGGTCTACCCTCGTTAGTACAGGTCTACCCTCGTTAGCACAGGTCTACCCTCGTTAGCACAGGTCTACCCTCGTTAGCACAGGTCTACCCTCGTTAGTACAGGTCTACCCTCGTTAGCACAGGTCTACCCTCGTTAGTACAGGTCTACCCTCGTTAGTACAGGTCTACCCTCGTTAGTACAGGTCTACCCTCGTTAGTACAGGTCTACCCTCGTTAGTACAGGTCTACCATCGTTAGTACAGGTCTACCCTCGTTAGTACAGGTCTACCCTCGTTAGCACAGGTCTACCCTCGTTAGTACAGGTCTACCCTCGTTAGTACAGGTCTACCCTCGTTAGCACAGGTCTACCCTCGTTAGCACAGGTCTACCCTCGTTAGCACAGGTCTACCCTCGTTAGCACAGGTCTACCCTCGTTAGTACAGGTCTCCCCTCGTTAGCAAAGGTCTACCCTCGTTAGTACAGGTCTACCCTCGTTAGCACAGGTCTACCCTCGTCAGCACAGGTCTACCCTCGTTAGTACAGGTCTACCCTCGTTAGTACAGGTCTACCCTCGTTAGCACAGGTCTACCCTCGTCAGCACAGGTCTACCCTCGTTAGTACAGGTCTACCCTCGTTAGCACAGGTCTACCCTCGTTAGTACAGGTCTACCCTCGTTAGTACAGGTCTACCCTCGTTAGTACAGGTCTACCCTCGTTAGTACAGGTCTACCCTCGTTAGTACAGGTCTACCCTCGTTAGTACAGGTCTACCCTCGTTAGTACAGGTCTACCCTCGTTAGTACAGGTCTACCCTCGTTAGCACAGGTCTACCCTTGTTAGTACGGCATCGGGTACAAGACTAGCCTCATTAGTAGATAACGAGCCAAAATTCTCTGACACCTGAAAGTCGGACGTGCAAGTCCAGATATTAGATAATACCCGTTATAATTTTGGTCTGCGATACAAAATAAAATTTCAACAACAACAATGATAAGACGAACAAGTTGAAACCCCCAGGGTTGTCTACTAACGAGGGTAGGCCTGTACTCGTACTCGTGCTGTGTTCACCCCACTCACATGGTGATGTCACTGTGCTCGCACTGTTCACACGGTGCTCACATTGTGCCCACACTGCGCATCTAAGTCAGAATTTGGTAAATGGCACTCCTTGCCAGCAAACCGAGGACGGAGACATTGGTGATATGTGTGACATTGGCGTGAAGCTAGGTGGCAATGTTCAGTTAGCTCTGTCTGTTTGCTTTCATGATGTTTTTCAGGCAGTGTGCATCATTTATTTATCACTCCGCAAGCCAGGAAAGCCATTCCGCTTGCAGCTGAAGCTTTCATCTGTGGTGTAAGTGTACAGATGTGTGCATGTACACTCAGCTAGAGGCAAATATCTCCTTCATTGCTCATACCCCGAGTCACACGCGCACGCACACACACACACACACACACACACACACACACACACACACACACACACACACACACACACACACACACACACATGCAGACACGCACACGTGCGCGCGCGCGCGTGCACACACACACACACACATGCAGACACGCACACACACACACACACTTTCCTTCCTGAATGTCAGACTCATTGCACAGTTCAAGGTTTTCTTCAGATTTCAAAATCCATGCCTCCTGTGAAACTGCACAGGTACCAATATTCAACTTTCTTCATTCTTTCTTCTCTCTTAATATTTCATTTGCTGTGTGCAGACCTCTGCACTGCGGTCTGTCTGGCTGTGTTTGCGGTGGTGTCATGACGGCCGTTGTCGCCAGCCAGCATTGTTACTGTTGTTCTTGCTGTTGTTTTAGGCCGGCCAACTTGCTGGATTTCCACTCCGACCGTTTGTTGATTGCCGTGGCTTATGTTGCCACGGTGCAGATTGTGTTCCTGATGTTCACTGGTCACTTGCATCTTCACATCACCACTGCTAACTCTGTTATCCAAGAAAAATGGCTTAGTGGTAAGTGCCTCCTACATATAGCTCTGTGATGTTTCTGCCTTCTACATATAGCTCTGTGATGTCTCTGCCTTCTACATATAGCTCTGTGGTACCTCTGTCCAATAGTGGTACAAACGTTGATGTTGCTCTGTGATGTCTCTGTCCAATAGGGTACAAACATTGATGTTGCTCTGTGATGTCTCTGTCCAATAGGGGTACAAACATTGATGCTGCTCTGTAATGTCTCTATCCACTAGTGGTATAAATGTGTTCATTCGCCCGCATTCAGCGGTTTCGAAACTGTGCTTTGTACTGGCGGAGCTGTGCCCGCCGGAGCAAAACGGTCCGTCAGGTCTGCCATAAGGTCAGCCCCAATGGCAGATCTAGCACCTGGGACTGTGCCCATGAATTTATGTGCACCGTCTCGAAGTCGGACCGCCAAAAATTGTACGCGCTGCGCATCATTCCAGTCATTGACCGCGGCGCAATGATTTAAGTACTCCAGGTTGCAGCGGCAGCAGCGGCTGCCAGGCAGTGTCACGTACGGATTCCGCCGGTGTTGGACGGCCGTTCCTCGGGAGGCCCGTCTTCAACAATTGATGCAAATTTCTTCAGATTGGTCAACAGGGTGGTGAGGCCGCCCGCCATGGCACGCAACTTGTGGGCCTGAGCCAGCCTGTTCAAGGCGTCCAAGGCGGATGCTCCCGCCTGTAGCGCTACAACGAGAGAGCTTGGAAGCTCCGGGCCCTACGCTATGCTTTTATGCTTTTTTGCCTAGCTCATCGTACATGTTATTAGAACTGTTATTAGAACTAATGGAAATGTTTTTTTCCGTTGATTGGCCACATCATTGTATTGCAAAAACGTTTCAATCAGTTTGAATATGAGTTAGGCAAAAGTATTTGCAGAATTTATTGCGGATTGTTATTTTTCTCTATTTCATCCACTTTTGGTTTGCTCCTTCTTTTCTTTTTATCTCCTTATACTGTAAATCAACAAATTATGGTCGATGAGAAACTTTGGCCGATGAGAAACGAAACTTTTCACCGTCATTAAACTTTGGTCGATTGGAGTTTTCAAAAAGAAATCGATCGGAATTTTTTGCTCTCACATGCATCCATTGCTCAATCATGCATCATTTGCCTCTATGACAAACTTTGGCCTGCGATTTACTTTGGCCGGTTGGTACCAAGCGGCGTTCTGGAGTCGACGGGATGTCTGTCCTGACGTTTCCTGTGACAGGCGCTGGCTCTGCCGATCACGGGCGTTCTGGAGTCGACGAGATGTCTGTCCTGACGTTTCCTGGGACCGGCGCTGACTCTGCCGATCACGGGCGTTCTGGACTCGACGGGATGTCCGTCCTGACGTTTCCTGGGACCGGCGCTGACTCTACCGATCACAGGCGTTCTGGAGTCGACGGGATCTCTCTTCCGACGTTTCCTGTGACCTGCGCTGAATCGCCCATTCACGCGTATTTTGGAGTCGACGGGATGTCTGTCCTGACGTTTCCTGGGACCGGTGCTGACACTGCCGATCACGGGCGTTCTGGAGTCGACGGGATCTCTCTTCCGACGTTTCCTGTGACCGGCGCTGAATCGCCTGTTCACGCTTATTTTGGAGACGACGGGATCTCTCTTCCAAAGTATGTTTTTGCTGACGCATCCTATCACCTATTCGGCAACTAACGTCCATTCTTATTTTATTTCCTCCTCGTCTCCCTATTTCTTTCCAAATCTCCCTCTACATTAGGGAGTCGTATACATAATACGACGAAAATTGTGGCCAGCTGTTTGTACGGGACGGTACGGGACAGATACAGGAGCCAGCAAATATTGTGGCCAGCTGTTATGTACAATCCTGTAGAGCCTTTGTAGTCACAGATACGGGACAGATACGGGATAGCTCCAGGCGTGACACAAACACACAAACAAACAAACAAAAAATACCAAATTAAAGCTGTTTGGACCCTGGCTAGCGCCAGACGTTACTGAAGTAACGTGTTCTGCATAGCTACGCGAATAAAATCTTGCTAATGACTTGCATGCCTCGGCAGAGCTCTGGCTGACGTTTGTGTTGAGTCCGACATTCTGTTCAGAAGAAAGAAGGACACGCGTCGTTAGCATTATCACTTGATGCACACACCCATACATGCACACACGGTCGCAGCACCGAATGTCATGGCCACTGGCACCAGTTTACACACCCATGCACACACGGTCGCAGCACCGAATGTCATGGCCACTGACACCAGTTTACACACCCATACATGCACACACGGTCGCAGCACCGAATGTCATGGCCACTGGCACCAGTTTACACACCCATGCACACACGGTCGCAGCACCGAATGTCATGGCCACTGACACCAGTTTACACACCCATGCACACACGGTCGCAGCACCGAATGTCATGGCCACTGACACCAGTTTACACACCCATGCACACACGGTCGCAGCACCGAATGTCATGGCCACTGGCACCAGTTTGCACACCCATACATGCACACACGGTCGCAGCACCGAATGTCATGGCCACTGGCACCAGTTTACACACCCATACATGCACACACGGTCGCAGCACCGAATGTCATGGCCACTGGCACCAGTTTACCATCCCATGAAGTGTTCCATGTGGCAGTCTGATCAGGCTGATCATGTTACACACGACTGAAGGACAAAGGCAGTCACGTCTTGGCTCAGAGTTTCCCGGAACAGGATGTGCAGGCAACAAGGACACCAGGCTAGCCTTGTCTCCTGTATATATTGGACTTGGTAGGCAGTCCAGCCCCTATATGAGGTTCGCATCCTATATAGAGTCCATGGGTCCGAAAAAAGTTTACTTTTCTTCCCATGACTATGTACTGGTCATACCATGCCCTCTCTCTCTCTCTCTCTCTCTCTCTCTCTCTCTCTCTCTCTCTCTCTCTCTCTCTCTCTCTCTCTCTCTCTCTCTCTCTCTCTCTCTCTCTCTCTCTCTCTCTCTCTCTCTCTCTCTCCTCTCCTGGCTTTCCACCCTGCTTTCCGTCACATTCTGATAGAGAATGATGGTGTCTGGTTTTCCATGATACTCACACCAGTAGCTGATGTTCTTTTTCATGCGCAGTTGTTGTGACAGTACTGTTGACGATGGTCATTGGCTTCAGCTTCTATAGTGTGTTTGCTGGAATGACTACTCAACATCAGCCGGAGGGTGCCATCATGGGCTTGGTTGTCTCCGTCTTATTGTGAGTCCATGGCTACTCTGTGTGTGTGTGTGTGTGTGTGTGTGTGTATGTGTGTGTGTGTGTGTGTGTGTGTGTGTGTGTGTGTGTGTGTGTGTGTGTGTGTGTGTGTGTGTGTGTGTGTGTGTGTGTGTGTGTGTGAGTGTGTGTGTGTGTGTGTGTGTGTGTGTGTGTGTGTGTGTGTGTGTGTGTGTGTGTGTGTGTGTGTGTGTGTGTGTGTGTGTGTGTGTGTGTGTGTGTGTGTGTGTGTGTGTGTGTGTGTGTGTGTGTGTGTGTGTGTGTGTGTGTGTGTGTGTGTGTGTGTGTGTGTGTGTGTGTGTGTGTGTGTGTGTGTGTGTGTGTGTGTGTGTGTGTGTGTGTGTGTGTGTGTGTGTGTGTGTGTGTGTGTGTGTGTGTGTGTGTGTGTGTGTGTGTGTGTGTGTGTGTGTGTGTGTGTGTGTGTGTGTGTGTGTGTGTGTGTGTGTGTGTGTGTGTGTGTGTGTGTGTGTGTGTGTGTGTGTGTGTGTGTGTGTGTGTGTGTTCTTTCATTCTCCTGGGTGGTTACCAACAGCCAGTGCATGCCGGAGTATGTGGTGTGGTGTGTGTGTGCGGAAAAAAAAGAAAAAGAAGAAAGACCAAAAAGTAGGGATTCACTGGCCAGAAAAAGCCACTTCATAGCTGTGTGGTGTAGACCAGGCTGAATAGTGGCGGTCAATTCTTCAGCCTTGCAAGCTGTTGAATGGTGCAATCCCAGCACAAGCTGCTATGGCTTCTGCTGTAGCATCGCTATCATCGCCTCCGGCGATGGGCGTCCAATGGTCCAATGGTGTGTGTGTGTGTGTGTGTGTGTGTGTGTGTGTGTGTGTGTGTGTGTGTGTGTGTGTGTGTGTGTGTGTGTGTGTGTGTGTGTGTGTGTGTGTGTGTGTGTGTGTGTGTGTGTGTGTGTGTGTGTGTGTGTGTGTGTGTGTGTGTGTGTGTGTGTGTGTGTGTGTGTGTGTGTGTGTGTGTGTGTGTGTGTGTGTGTGTGTGTGTGTGTGTGTGTGTGTGTGTGTGTGTGTGTGTGTGTGTGTGTGTGTGTGTGTGTTAGTCATAATTGCTATCGTATCAGAAAATATGTACTCGATCAGTTTTCACATCGTACTCCTCTCCCATGTAGAGAGGGGACAGCACCCTTTACGAACAGTGTGCACGAAATGACAACAAAGGCTCTAAGTACGCTTTCTGTCTTGGTGTGATTCAAATCTCTTGTAACTGTAGGAATTAGATTACTTCATGTTTTGCTTTGAGGCCAATGTTACTGGCTCTCCAATGAACAGAAATGCTATGGCAGGTAGGTGAGTTTACGCTGAAAACTTCACATTTCATTCCGAAACTGAACTTCGGTTCTACCGTTTTCAGCTGTACTCGTATGCTCCTTTTCACCCACCTTGCACCCGTGATTTTTGCAGTGTTCACACAATCGTTGTTGTTGTTGCCTACCCGTCTGCTGCAGCATCGTCTTCTACATTTTACGGATCTCCTCCTGCGTTGTATCCTCACGGGTAGGTATCTCAACCAACTGCACTTGCCACAGCCATGCTGCAAGCTTTAGAGGTTCTTTAGCGCTGATGTAATCTTTTCACTTGTTTTACATAGACTCATTAGAGGAAGGTATGTGGCGCGGGTCAACAGCCATTTTGTTTAGAATAGAGGGCGAAAGTTTGGAACGATACAAAGATTAAAATTACGAGCAAGGAGCAAGGTGCAACAAGAACGAAATCGAAATATGGCGAAATAAAACACAAGTAAACGCAATACAGCTATACAGTCCATTCATCGGAAACTATCCCGCTGGCTTTTGAAAGTCGGATTTGGGCTAAATTGAGGATCAAAAACCCACTTTAAATCTCAAAAATCTGGGTTTGGGATCTGCTTCTCCATACATTTTGCCATGGCATACCTGTCCTCATTTTGTAAAACCTGGCTGAATTTCTATTTCCCTGTTCTTGGACTTTTCTGGCTTCAAATGTGGCAAGGAGTAATTGCACGGGTCACACAATGCAGGATGTACTGTTGTTTTCACGATATCTACAACTATGTGAGAGAGACACCAAAAAGTTAGGGTGCCAGTTTCCAATGAATGGACTGTAGGTACTTACGAAGTCAGGGTCGTGCCCTAGAGCGAAACGTCGGGCATCAATGTTAAAGGGGAAGTATACCCTAAAATCAAATTTTCACCAGTTGTAGTCTTCTGGGTGCTGAGTCGAATGGTCTTGGTCCGAGGAAGCTGCGACGCTCCCTTCCTACTTGAATCCCAATCGAACTCGCGCACTTCCACCGAAACTGGGTGACTGCGCCCTACTAGATGGGGATTTGTATGCAAAATGTCACTAAAAGCGCCATTTCGTTCTTATAAAAGCACGGATGACCGCGATTGGCCCATATGTTGTAGTCTTTTGGACGCTGAGTCGACTGGTTTTGGTCCGAAAAGGCTGCGATGCAGCGTTCCTCCTTTATTCCCAATCGAACATGGTTGAACAAGCGGTCACGTGCTCCTGGGTGCCCAAATCACCTGGTCACCGCGCCAGCAGGTGACAACTTTCACACCAAGGTTCAACTCGAGTTCAACTCGAGTGACAGGACTGCACCCAAAAAAGGTCAAACAGGCTAGTAAGTTGTACCCTGCAGGCACGGTGACCAGCTGACTGGTGTACGCAGGAGCACGTGACCGCTTGTTCAACCATGTTCGATTGGGAATAAAGGAGGAACGCTGCATCGCAGCCTTTTCGGACCAAAACCAGTCGACTCAGCGTCCAAAAGACTACAACATATGGGCCAATCGCGGTCATCCGTGCTTTTATAAGAACGAAATGGCGCTTTTAGTGACATTTTGCATACAAATCCCCATCTAGTAGGGCGCAGTCACCCAGTTTCGGTGGAAGTGCGCGAGTTCGATTGGGATTCAAGTAGGAAGGGAGCGTCGCAGCTTCCTCGGACCAAGACCATTCGACTCAGCACCCAGAAGACTACAACTGGTGAAAATTTGATTTTAGGGTATACTTCCCCTTTAAGATCTCAGCTCACACAGCTACAGGGATCGATGTTGTTCGGAGTTACACTTGCAGAAGTCAAGAGAATTTGAGAAGACGACTAAGTGGAAAACACGAGGCTATAAGGGGCCTGGGTAGCTATGGCAATGAATGGATGATGAGCACGAATGTAGCTACCAGGCCAACGGATAATACGGGAAGGCGGGAACATGTGCGGGGGAGAGTGCTGGAGCAAGACAGAGTACTAGAGTATCGAGAAGCGGGAAGAGGAAAAGAGGTGTACCGTAATGTCGCGTGCATTAGCCGGGGCTTATATGCCTATAAGCCGGTGATGGAGTCAGGCTTGTACACAAGACAGGCTTATACACGAGACAGGCTTATATGACAAGCACCACTCAATGACCAGGCTTGTATGCGCAAACTGCTGACTTTTGGACGTCAAAACCAACATTTTCCAACGGGATTTTTTTTCTTTTTTTTCGCTCCCTGAACCGCGTCCCCCCTCTCCTTTCTCTCTCTCTCTCTCTCTCTCTCTCTCTCTCTCTCTCTCTCTCTCTCTCTCACACACACACACACACACACACACACACACACACACACACACACACACACAAACGAACAAGCCAACTCATCAAACACCAGCAGCTTCACAGTAGAGTTCAACTCCTTTTCAGGTCATGAGGTGTGGAGTACGATGATAAAGAACATGCTCGTACATGGTGCCGTGAGAATGAGAGGCAAGCAACAGGATGTGCACGCACAGAGTGAGACAAGTGTCAGCTATCGACACAGCTATCAAAGATACTACGGGTACCGGTACCCAGAAGGTACCGGTAGGTGATATTGTTTTGCAATTGCAGTTCAGTAGAAGTGTGCAGAAACAAAACAATTGTGTAACACTGACTTGATTAGCAAGATCAAGAAAGAAAGCAGTTCAGTATGAAACATCACTGTCCTTCTTCCTCAGAGGCACTGTCACTGCTGTCGCTGCGACTGTCATCACCACTTCCATTGACCTCGCCATCGTCACCAAGGACTACAGCGTCATGATCAAGCTCATCCACCACCTCATCACTGCCAGCATTGTCAACACGGAGTTCGGCTGTCGGCAAGGCGAACCGTTCAGCCAGTTGTTCTCGTCCGCTGGCAGCTGGACGGCCGTCCTTGAAGCATGACACATTCTCCGCCGTGGCTCCAGGCACCTGACCACAGCACTCGAACGACTTGGAGATAAGGTCAGGGGAAAGGCCTTGCCAAGCCTTCACCACAACGTCACACAGCTTCGACTTTGACATGGCACGCATGTTACCAGCAGCAGTGTATGACTTCTCTCCGGTTGCCATCCACTCGTCATACTGCTCTCGGATAGAAGTCTTGAATGGCTTATTCCAGCTGACATCCGGTGCTTGGATGAGGCCAGTGCACCCTCCTGGAATAACGGCACAGTCGATGTTCTGCTCGCGGCGGGTGGCCTTCACAGCATCACACACATGGCAGCGGTAAGAGTCCCATATGAGGAGCCTCTTCCCAAACGCAAAGGTACCCATCACCTTCTTGAGCCAGTCCGTCGTCAAGTCAGAGTTGAACCACCCATTGTCGGAGTAACTCACGACAATGTCGCGTCTGGCTTTCAGCTCCTTGTCCTCGGCCGTCTTGCCCTTTCCCTTGAAGATGATGTAGGGTAGGAGCTTCTTCCCGTCAGCTGAAGCACACAGAGCAACGGTTACATTGGCCTTGTCGTGGCCTGTTGATGCCAATGGAACAGATTGTGCTCCTACCACTTCCACTGTCCGACTGCTGGTGGAATCGAACCACACAGCAGTTTCATCCATAGCGAAGATGTTGGCCTTCGTCATGGTCGGATGTTCCGCGAAATACTTCCTCAGATACATCAGAAAATCCGTCAGTTTGGGAATCAAGTCTTCCGGAGATCGTTGGCTTTGATGGGTCTTCATTCTCATCGTCAGACGAAAACGCATAAAGAAGTTGGCACACCAACCAGCACTGGCGTTGAACTCCTCGGCGTTTCCCATCTCGGCATGGAGCTGTTTAGCCTTTGCACGGACAGACTTCCTGCTCACTCGTCGTCTCTGCTGACGTTCCCCAACAAGCCACTCGAACAAATTAGCTTCCAAATCCGTGAACTGGCTCCGCTTCCCACCAGATGTCCGGGATCGCTGCTCACCACGGCTGGTTTTGGACCTCTCCGCCACAAGAAGCTGGTTTTCTTGCCGTTTCCATCGCCGCACCATACTCTCGTCGATGCTGTGCTTTCTAGAAGCAGCAGTGACAGAAGTCGATTTTGCAGCTTTCACTACCGCCAGCTTGAATGTCGCTGAGTATTTTTTCCGAAGTCCTTTTGTTTTCGGCATTTCGACAAGCAGACTTGGTTGAGATGAGTTCTATCTACGGGTAGACTGCAACAAACACAAGTGAAAAGTTCGAGGAGCGCCGAAACAACTTCAAACAAGCAACTTGCCAAGGGACAAGACGGAAAATGCCATGGGAAAGGTAAGTTTGAAGCTTGAAGAGTGCTGCATGGCCGTCGAGCGCAGCTGGTGTTGATTTCCGCATCTTCCCACGTTTTCCGCGTGTGCAAGTGTACGGTACCATGCAAACATGAACATGTAAAAGGCGCGCTCACCAGTCTTGCGTAGTAGCCCGGCTTACGCACGCGACACGTGGCGCGTCTCGTGTACTGGCCCGGCTTATGCATGCGACAGGCTTGTACGCGAAAAGCTGTTGCAGATTTCATGCTTCTACACGAGACAGGCTTATGCACAAATCCGGCTTATGCACGCGACATTACGGTATGCAGCCATTCTTGTGTAAGTGTGTGTGTGTGTACGTGCTGATGCGGAAGAGAGGTAATTAGTGTGTGAGTGCATGCGTATACGGAATCGAGAACCTAACATTAGTGCCAGTTAAAACGTGCATCCACAATGTGTACACTAAGCTACATTGTATAAGTGGAGCACCAAGTATACAACAACAGCAATGGGGTGACATATGGTTGTATTATTTCAAACAGTTACCGTGATTTGAATGCTGGCGCGACTTGTCAGCACATTGACCTCCTGTCACCAGCTGCCATGTCATCATGATTCGAATTGCCGGTGCGTCTCTGCCAGCTTCCGAGTGATCCGCTTTCTAACTTCAGATCACGACATATGTGTATGTGTATGTGTGTATGTATGTATTTATGCGTGTGCGTGTGTGCGTCTGTCTGTCTGTCTGTGCGTGCATGTGTGTGCATGTGTGTACATGTGTGTACATGTGTGTATGTCTGTGTGTGCATGTGTGTGCATGTGTGTATGTCTGTGTGTGCATGTGTGTGTGCATGTGTGTGCATGTGTGTGCGTGTGTGTGCGTGCGTGTGCGTGCGTGCGTGTGCGTGTGTGTGCATGTATGTGCATGCGTGTGTGTGTGTGCGTGTGTGTGCATACGTCCACGTGCCTATGTTCAGACAATCCTGATTTTACAAGCAGCCCCTGCATTACTTTGCCTTGTCATACTGGCTGTGTACTTCATCATCCGCCTCGTCCAATATATTCTGGCACTGGCCAATAAGGAAGACATGGTAAGTTGATGCTAGTTTGAATTTCAGATATGCCTTGGAGCATTTGAGGACTCCCATTCATATGTATACATGTTGCCTGATGATCGTAGAAATACGTGAAACTCAGAGTTGTGACAAAGCTTCCAAACTCTCTCTTGTGTATGTATACATATATTCAGACTTCTCTTTAAAACAATGCCACGTACCACCAGTGCATTGTCGCAGTGCTGGGTACTCCTGCCAAGCCAATTATCGCCCATTGAGGCATCGACACATGGCCAATCGGCCAACTGGTGCGCTATGGCTAGACTGGCGTCGTGTATCAAGTCTGTCCTCGTTTCAGCCAGGTTCCAGACGGCTCTTCAGCCAGGTTTTCAGCCAGATTTTCACCCAGGTTTCAGACAGGGTTTCACTCACTTTTTCAGACAGGTTATCAGCCAGGTTTTTAGCCAAAAGAGAGCCCTTACCTTTCCCAGTGAGTTGACACTGTTGCATGCATACTAGTATATTATGATTGTATAATGGCTGGAGACTAAAACAAACAAACAATAAGAGAACTAAATATTGCGACAGAGCTTTCGGCCATATTTTCAATTCATTGCATTCCCAACTCATCACAACCACGCGCTCTTCAGCCGAACCATACAGACACCAGAAACAATAAGAGGACAGAGAAAGTGTTACGATCATCAGAAAAACAGTAAATGAGTAAATCTTGATCAGTATTGGTTTATATACCCGCAAAGCAAAGTGTAAATGGCTGCATCATGGCGCAAATCTAACAGCTGGCTGGAGACTAGATATACATATAACAAGTTATTGTTAATAACATAGGCAGGCATAGTGGGATGGTCTAAGACCATGATTGAGAAACAGAGGGTACCAGGTTCAAGTCCTGCTTGGAAGCGGAAGGATTTTTTTCCAGCCGTGCTGCGACCCACAGTTAATTGGGAACTCGTGGCCTGGCATGAGGGAAACATGGATGCAGTGAATGGGATTTCGGTCTTTGGCCACTTTGTGGTGGGTCTGATCTACTCACCTCCCACCGCTTAGGAGCTGCATCTGCGTCTTGATCACCAAGAGGGTGGTGGCGTTCCTGCGGATGTGGAAAACTGGGCCTTTGGCCGAGTCTCACGCGAACCGTGAATTTTTTATTTTTATTTTATTTTTTATTAATAACACTTCTTCAGTAGATCGTTTCTGAAGTCATTATACGTACTCGGTCAGTTACGAACTTAGAATAGTTAGAATAGTTGAACTTAGAATAGTTAGAATAGTTGGAATAGTTAGAATAGTTGGAATAGTTGGAACAATCAACTTCGATCAGTTACTTACACACAATCTTTGGGAAGGACTTGTTAGCTGCATGACTTGGGCGACAAAATATAATTGTAAACCTTAATTAATCTGGTGTGATATGCAAGGTGTCTAAGTACATTTGTAGACTATGTCTACGGCATTACCAGGGAAAGTGTTGCCCTTGCATTCACCAGTCCATTCTGGTGGATGTATCAGTGAGTTGATGCTGGAAAGCAGGATGTATTGCTTGGACAGTGGGTCTTGTTGCAGGTGTTAGCACATGCGTGCATACACGCTTGTGTGTACCGTAACGTACCGCAAGAGTGCCCAGTCTCGCGAGAGCGCCCCACCTTGATTTTACAGCCGGGGAAAGGTAAATTGTATGGCAGAGTGCCACTCAGTTTGTGCAGTATGAGGACCTTAGTGTACTAAGGTCACACTTAGCATGTTCTTGTGTGGAGATTGACTCCACAGCAGGCAATGTGTGTACAAGGTTGTTGTCGTATATGGTACAGACAGGACACCGCCTCCACCGCAGTACATGAAAGAACGAGTTGGTGGGGCGCTCTCGCTGCACTTCATGGTATTTGCGTATGAATGTGCATGTGTGTGTGCACGTGTATGTGTGATTGTGTGTGCGTGTGTGTGTGTGTGTGTGTGTGCACGTGTATGTGTGATTGTGTGTTTGTGTGTGTGTGTGTTTGTGCATGTGTATATAGTAAGTCATGAGTGCTTTCTGCCTGGTCTGAGCGGCTGTAAAGCAATGTCATCCGGTGTGTGCTCTTGGAACTTGACTGCAGGCCAATCTGCTAGCCCGTTACAACTTTGGCGGAAGCGTCAGACATGAGCTACCATATCTCAGAGGCCTGCTGAAGCGGTGAGTCCTACCACTGTACTGAAATAAACTATTGCACAAGCCACAAGTAACACAAGTAAGGCGTCAACTTGCAAAACCACAGGCCTGTTCAGATCGTAGTGTGCCAACAAAGTATTGTCGCACATCGCATTCTTCAAATCATTGAATGCCCCATCTTCGTCTTCTCCCCACCGCCATTTAGTTTCTTTCTTTAGTAGGCTGTACAGGGGTGTTGCAATCTCAGCAAACCGGGGGACAAGTTTCCTCTGAAAGTTTGCTGAGCCTAAAAATGAATACAGTTCATTCACATTCGCTGGTGGTTTTGCTGTTTTCAACGCTTGGATGCGTTCCGGTGCTGGGGAGATTCCCGTTGCACTCACCTGATGACCCAAATACGTTAATTTGTCGGCCATGTAGCAAAATTTTGACGGGTTTAGTTTGAAACCTTTTTCATTCAAACGCGATAGCACTTGATCCACATTCCTTTCATGTGTCTCATCATCTCTGCCAGTGCACAAAACATCGTCGATGTAATCATCACTGCCGGTTAAGTCGCAAAGTGTTTCCTCCATTACCCGTTGAAATATGGAGACTGCGCTGTGGAACCCAAATGGTAACCGCTTGTATTGATACAATCCTTGTATCGTGTTGATAGTGGTGTATTTGCGACATTCGGGAGCGACCTCCAACTAATGGGAGGCCTGCGATAGGTCGAGCTTAGTGAATTTCTCGCCCGGGCCCAATTTGTGAAGCAATTCTTCAAGTGTGGGTAGGGGATATTGCTCGCACGTTGAATGCACATTGATGGTACTGCTGTAGTCACCACAAATACGTAACCCACCACCCGGTCTCTCCACTGTGACTGTAGGGATAGCCCATTCTGAGTGCGTGACCTTTTCTATCACACCATCCCTCTCCAGCTTTTCAAGTGCCGCCATGTATTTCTCCCGTATTGACAACGGTACAGGGCGGGCCTTTCGATACAACGGGTTGTCATCAGATACGTGCAAGTGAACTTGAAAATCCTTCACCTTGCCCACCACTGATGTGTCGAACAGATCCGGGTACTTTTCAATGAATTTAGCTCCATTGCGTTCAATATGATTTACACCAAATACAGATTTCCATGGCAGGCGGAATTTCGCTAGAACATCCCTGCCAAGAAGTGAGGGGCGCGTTCCCTCTGTGACCCGGACCAAAACGGTGTCACGTTGTGTACCAATTTGTACAATCATATCCATTTCACCCAGACAAGAAATTGCATTTCCAGAATAAGCTGTGAGATTGATACTAGGTTTCTTCAATTCATTCACAATACCATTACATGGCTGAAAATCAGACTCATTGAGAACTGTAACGGTGCTACCAGTATCAATTTCCAGCTGTACGGTTGTGCCATTTACAATCACCGACTGTATATATGGCAGTTCATTACGACATTTTTTCCTGTCAGCCCCATCCACGTGTAACATTGGCACAGTTCCCACACAACTTGGAACGGACTCACCGGTTTCTGGCGCTGACTCCACATGTTTCACGTCAGCTTGCCTAGGCTTCTTTCTGCACGCCCGTTTAATGTGGCCCACAATTCCACAGTTGTGGCACTTGGCTTCCTTGAAACGGCAGTCTCCCGGCTGATGTCCCGCTCTGTCACATCGGAAACACTTCTTTCCCGCAAGAGCTGACAGTGGCTGCTTGCCTGCGTACTTGCTCTGGCCCACTGCGTGCACCTGCGCTTGTGACGGCTGCCCAAATCTCTCAGCATCTTGACACGCTGACTCCAGCCTTGTTGCGTGGGCCACGACGTCCGCGAACTTGTCAGTGTCCACTGCCTTGGAAAGCAGTTCTTTCGTAACAGCCAAAGATCTTACTCCTTTTATGAACTGATCCCGGAGCGCCCTGTCCAGCTGGTCCAAGAATTTGCAATCTACGGCAGACCTTTTCAGTCTTGTTGTATAGCCCAGCACAGTCTCACCTTCTTGCTGCACGCACTTGTGAAATGCATGAGTGGCCGCGACGGCACTCACTGCTGGCTTGTAATATTCTCGCAACAACTTTTCCACTTCCGCGTACTTCTTGTCGCTGGGTTTGTCAGGTAGACACAGGCTCTTCAGTGTTGAGTAAACTGTACTTGAAAGCTGTGAGACCAACACCGCCAGTTTCTTTTTATCTGCTGCAGTAATGGCCGCCGCATTGGCGTTGGCGGCGAGCTGACCAATGTCGTTGGCCACGAAAAAAAATTGAAGCCGCTCAGCATACTCGTCAAAATCTCCGCCCTCAAAATTCTCCAGACGTGAGACCTTTGCCATCTTTATCTTCGTCGCCAATTGTTATGTCCTCGACACTCGGCAGTCTCCCGGCTGATGTCCCGCTCTGTCACATCGGAAACACGTCATGCATGCCCAGTCTGCACGGTCAACAGGTTTGATTACCCCTTCAGTCTGCAATCTCGTCAATTCAGCCTCGACCTTGGATTTCAATGCATAGGGCACAGGTCTTGCGCTGAAACTCCTTGGGGCAGGGAAACCTTGTATTCAAAACTGCGGAACCATTTCTTCTAGCGTTGGCCAACCTCCGCAGGAGTACCTGACGAATCGAACGTGGGTAGACGATTGGACTGACCCTCGTGGAGATTGAAACTACTAGCCATCTTCGTCGCCAATTGTTGTAACTTACACTTAGTTACTGCATGCTTGTGGCACACGACAGTCACAAGCAACACGAGGAGTAATTATTGTTGGTAGTTATCATTACGAAGGTAAGCAAGAGAATGACCTGAGCATGCCCAGAGCAACCAGGTAAGGACCAGCAGCCATGATGAGAAATACCGTAGACATGCACGAATGGAGAAGATTGTACGAAGCGAAAGGAGATAAGATCGTACGAAGAGGCAGCGAGAGAGCAGCATGCAGCGACGGCAATACGAAGTGAATGCAGTCTATAACAGTGCCAACACGAGTCCAAATGTTGTAAACAAAAGTAAGACTTCACGGTTCACGGCAGACTCGGACCGAGGTTTGTTTTTCGCATCCGCAGGAACGCCGCCACCCTTTAACAGTCTACATGTACAGTATTTATCAACAATACAAGCATAATCAAGAAAGTTAAAGTACGTTCATTCCTTGATCCGAATCCACTCTATTCACTTCAAAAATTGCAGTGCTCCTGTAGCATAACTCAGTCGGCAGGAAACAGGAAACAGGCCTCGAGCACAACAAGTAAGCGAAGACGAATTCACAAACAACCATTGTTCTTGTCATCAGTGACAGCACTGTTCCCCGCCTTTTTCTCCCAGAGAACCTTTTGCAAACTGGCTGCTACTGCTGCATGCCACTGCTTTGCTTGACATTTGCTTTATTTCTGTTTGTCTGCTGCTTTGGACGTGCTCACCGTAGGCAATTTGCGGAGAAGAAGTTACGTGAGCAGGAGCGGGAAATGGCCAAGGAGAAAGGATCCCTGAAGCAGTCGGCATTCCAGGGCGTGTGGGAAAAAGTTGTTTTCGCGGTGAAGGACAACTTCCCCACCCTTGCCGTAGGAGACAGTAAGTTAACCCTGCTTTAGTATGCTTGAAAGGTAAAGGTAGCTAAGCCCATAATAAATTCTGGCCAGTGGGGGGGGGGGGGGGGGGGGGGGGGGCGAGGGAGCAGATAAGGAAATACGAGAATCATGTTCTATTTTTTATTATGTAAAGATCCTGCATTTTGTTGTCCATAGTCTTATCGTTGCAAAAGTATTGTAGCAACGCAGGAAACGGAGAAAATGAGCCCGTTCCTATTTTGTGTCCATGTTTTGTCTGTTTGTAACTATGACTTGGTATGGCGTGTGTTGTGACTCGCACCGTCCACCATAGCAAGCACTGCTTGTTTAGGAGAGGAAAGAGAAAGAGGTCAGAACCTGAAGTGAACGACGT